CCCAGCCTGACAACGCGCTTCGCTCACACACCAGCTGTGCTTTCTGTATAGACGGCATTACACCAATACACACAGGACCGAAAACCCTGACTATAATGGAGGAGAGAGAAGGATAATTACCACGCGAGGCACGTGATATATTCACCCAGATACCGGAACTGAAGAGGAATGCAAAAACAAAAGGGTCCGAGATTCTTCAGGAAAACGTACTGGTATCGGAACCCCTCATGGCACACTGGTATCACTGGGACCCCTCATGGCACACTGGTATCATTGGGACCCCTCATGGCACACTGGTATCATTGGGACCCCTCATGGCACACTGGTATCACTGGGACCCCTCATGGCACACTGGTATCACTGGGACCCCTCATGGCACACTCGTATCATTGGGACCCCTCATGGCACACTGGTATCACTGGGACCCCTCATGGCACACTGGTATCACTGGGACCCCTCATGGCACACTGGTATCATTGGGACCCCTCATGGCACACTGGTATTTGGCACCGGGACCCCTCACGGGACCCTGGTATCACTGGGACCCCTCATGGCACACTGGTATCATTGGGACCCCTCATGGCACACTGGTATCATTGGGACCCCTCATGGCACACTGGTATCATTGGGACCCCTCATGGCACACTGGTATCATTGGAACCCCTCATGGCACACTGGTATCATTTGAACCCCTCATGGCACACTGGTATCATTGGGACCCCTCATGGCAGACTGGTATCACTGGGACCCCTCATGGCACACTGGTATCACTGGGACCCCTCATGACACACTGGTATCATTGGAAACCCTCATGACACACTGGTATCATTGGGACCCCTCATGGCACACTGGTATCATTGGGACACCTCATGGCACCCTGTCAACATCAGAACCCCTCATGGCACACTGGTATCATTAGAAGCCTTTACGGCACACTGGAATCATCCGAAACCCCTCATGGCACACTGGTATCACTGGGACCCCTCATGGCACACTGGTATCATTGGAACCCCTCATGGCACACTGGTATCACTGGGACCCCTCATGGCACCCTGGTATCATCCGAAACCCCTCATGGCACTCTGGTATCGTCCGAAACCCCTCATGGCACACTGGTATCACTGGGACCCCTCATGGCAGACTGGTATCACTGCTGGGCCCAAAATTATCGGCTGGCTATGAAGCGCACACTAGGCGCACTGCTGCGCTCTTCGCTGCACATAAGTTGGGTGCCTGGAACGGGGTGGCAACACAACGCCATGCACGGTACACAGCACCGCCTAGTAAAACGGGGAACTTGACCACCACGCATCAGTGTGACGGGGGGGCCCTAAAATATCACTTTTTTGGGTGGCCCTAACCCCAGCCATACGTGTTTGGACCATGTGGACAAATACAATGTATCAAATATCTAATAAAATATTACAACGTTATGAACAAAGCTCCACCGGAAACAATTTTACACGGCGTTGTCACCGAGCACGGTTTGGCGTTGTTATGGCAAAACCGGCTGCCTACAATTTAGCAAATTCCACCCGGAGGCGGCCGACTCCATCAGGAGGATGAAACTCAGAGTTATTTTTATTCCTTTTTGAGGAAACGTCGGCGGTGGTCATGGAAAGTGTCCCGATTGTAGCCGGAGAGGGCTTCCTCTTCAGCCATTGATCGGAGTGCTTCCTCTTCCTTCCTGCTACCGATCACCCCCCCCCCTTCCGCAGGAGCAAGCAGGGTGGCACACACGGGCGCTCTGCCCCCTTTGGCCCTCCTCACGTCGTCCCGTCAACGAGATAAGGCCGGCTCTTTCATTCCGGCGGCCGTGTCTACAGATCCACTCTGTGTGATAACAGTATCCAGGCCAGGCCCCGAGCTAATTAATGGCTCTCTATGCCTTGCAATCTCTCTCACTTCTCCTGGGAAGGGGGGGGGGAGGGGATGGAGACCTGGAAAAAAAAAAAGCCTCTGTCATGCTGAGCCGCTTATTAGGAGGGATTACTGAATTATATTAACACTTCCCTGTAATAGGCCCTTGTGTGCTTGTTGAGGATTCTCTGTACGGGAGGTGTGGAGGACGGCCTGGAAATAAGACGTAGGCCCGAAAGAAGAGCGCAGCAAAGGTTTCTGGGTAAAACCATGGAACGTATACGGCTTCTGGGTGGTCAACCTAAGAAAAGTTACGGAGATTTTGCACAGAAATCTTCTACATTGAATGGCCAGAGCTATGTAGACCCCTCAACCGAGGATGTCAGGTGTCTCCAGTAAAGGTTCTGATCATCTACAACATACAAAGGCATTGTAGACAATGGAGCTCTTCTAGCCTTGTGGTCACAGTTTGGTGAAGACCCTTTTCTGGTCCACCATGACTGTCCCCTGTGTACAATGGGCTCCTACACCTCAGGCTATGGCCAAAGTACATGGAGATCCCTCCAAATGATGGGGTTCAGGTGTCTCCAGTGAAGGTTCCGGTAATAGTCCATCATACAAAGACATTGTAGACAATTGAGCTCCTACAGCCTTGTGGTAACAGTTGGGTGAAGACCATTTTCTGTTCCACCATGACTGTCCCCGTGTACAATGGACTCCTACACTTCAGGCCATGGCCAAAGTACATGGAGACCCCTCCAAATGATGGGGTTCTGGTGTCTCCACTGAAGGTTCTGTTCATCCTACAAAGACATTATAGACCATTGGGCTCTTCCAGCCTTGTGGTCACAGTTTGGTGAAGACCCTTTTCTGTCCCACCCATGACTGTCCCCTGTGTACAAATCCAGCTCCATAAAGACATGGTGTGACCAGTGTGGTGTGTAGGAACTCGAGTGTCCTGCACAGAGCCCTGACCTCAACCCTACTGAACACCTTTGGGATGAATTGGAGATTGTGAGCCGGGTCTTCTCATCCAACATCAGCACCTGACCTCACAAATGAGCCCACATTCAGCCTCCAAAATCTTGCAGAAAGACATTCTAGAAGAATGGAAGATGTTCTAGCCGCAAAGAGCGGTCAACTCCATGGTCTTGGAATTAGATGTCCAACAAGTCCATTTCGATGTGATGGTCCACAAAGATTTGGGATTGATAGATCATTAGATACCAAATTAGGATATTTGTATTGATGGTTGCCTTGTCCTGCTAGTTTGAGGGCCGCACACAAGAGCTCTTGAACTATTTGGTGTTTCACTTTAAAGGGTCCTGGTGGGCCTCTGGTATCTTACATGCCCTGGATGCTCAATTCCCAGCTATGTTCCTGCACACCTGGGTTTTGGGTGTTCCAGCTCCTCCTGGCACAGTCTCCAAAATACACAACCAGCAGGGATGGTGGGGGCCCCTCATAATGGGCACAGCGGGTGTACAGACCCGGGAACTCAGCACAGGGATGGTGGGGGCTCCTCATAATGGGCACAGCGGGAGTACAGACCCGGGAACTCAGCACAGGGATGTTGGGAGATCCTCATAATGGGCACAGCGGGTGGGCGGAGCCGGGAACTCAGCACAGGGATGGTGGGAGCTCCTCATAATGGGCACAGCAGGTGTACAGACCCGGGAACTCAGCACAGGTGAATGCGGAGGCTTGGCACCACGCCGCGTCATTAACGAGCCGGTCATGCACGCTGACATCAGGCAATACAGAAAGGAACAGCTGCTCGCTGCCTCATTTCACCATCAGCTCCATGATCACAGAGCTGGAAAAACGCGGCCGTCCAATCAACGCCCCGTGTTGGGATCCGAGGGCGGCGTATTCCCGTGGCAGGCAGCAGAGGATTGTGGGAGAGGACTGTAGCTCGGGGGGGGGGGCAAAGCCCGGTTCGGGCACAAATCCTGCGGCCGCTTCTCTGCTCTTTAACGAGGGAAAAAACATGTCAAAAATTTCCTCAGGTCGGTCGGTGACCTCACAGAAAGAAGACGCACCACGGGGCTCATTTACCAGTAACTGGCCAATAAAAGGGAAGAGATCGGGGTGAAAGGTGAACTACGTGCCCAAAAATTCTCATATAAATCTATTCTTCAATAGCCACAAAGGGAGCGAGCAGGGCTGTGGGAGGAACCCAGCAGACTCCACCCACTACAGGAGGGGGCGGAGACAAGACCAGTCACCCTGCACAAGGAGAGAGATCAGCAGTGAGCGGTCTTTATTACAGGAAGGGGCGGAGACAAGACTGGTCACCCTGCACAAGCAGAGAGAGCGGCAGTGAGCGGTCTTTATTACAGGAAGGGGCGGAGACAAGACCAGTCACCCTGTACAAGAAGAGAGTAGCAGTGGGCGGTCTTTATTACAGGAGGGGGCGGAGACAAGACTGGTCACCCTGCACAAGCAGAGAGAGTAGCACTGAGCAGTCTTTATTACAGGAAGGGGCGGAGACAAGACTGGTTCTGCAG